AATATTATATCATACCTTAGTAATGCTATATGAATTAGAAGTTTTAAATCTTAGTAATCTTTTATATTCTGTTCATAGTTTCATTAATGCTTTTAATAGCAATTTAATTGAGGCAGTAAAACCAGGAAGCATATTATGTATTGACGAATTAATGAATTTATGATTAAGTGAAAAAATAAAATTCCTAGTTGTTGCAAAATATCTCGCAAATTACATCCAATTGGGCAAGAATAGAAAACTCTTGCAAATAGTTTTATGAATATTATTATTTAGTTAGAACCTTGTGAAGATAAAAACATTGAAAAAACTAAGCAATATGTTTTGGATTATAATAGTACAACTACTGTATATGTATTATGATTATTACAGCTATGGTTTGACTCTGGGCAAACTATAGTTGGTGATAGTTAGTTTGGATTATCAAAAGTCTGTATTGCATTAATACAAAATAGTTTATATAAAATTTTTCATGTCAAAAAAAGACAGGAATGGTCTATTAATTATCACTGTGACATGGTTCAAAAATTAGGTGTTGCATATGGTTCTTATATTTCCAAAATTGCATTTATTAATAATGTGTGTTTAATTGCAGCCTCTTTAAGAGACCAGAAACTACAATGTATTATTACAACTGCATCATCAACAACAGATGGTGATGAGGTTAAACGTATAGTTAAAGGGCATAATGGTTTGTCTTTGGTTAAATTTAGAAAACCAAAATTTTTCATGATTACTCTATTTCAAAGGGTGCTGTCAATATAAATAATCAGGTATTTAATATATTATTACTTATAAGTGCTGCCAAGAGAAAAGTACTACAGGTTTTTAAATAAATTTGAAAGTTTGTAGTGCTTTTTTCTTGACAGCACTTATTTATATATTTATTATAGCTTTTATACGTATTGTTATTAAGCATTTATAATCTAGTTTAAATTGTGTAATAATTTTGAAAACTTTATAGTTATATATTGATTATATTTAGAATATACTATAGTTGTACTACAGCTTATAATAATGATCTTTATATTTTTACTTATTAAGATTCATGATAATATAACATCATTCCATGATGTTATGCGTGGATCAAGCTGGCAAATGCGTGTTCTTGCTTTTTACTTGGAATCGCCGAATCAAATGCTTTTCTTATATTTAAAAAGTAGAATAAAAGTGCACATAATATATCTCACTTTGACTTTAGATAACAATTGGCATATGAAATACTTAATGAAAATTTTTCTTCTAATAAAGTTTTATCACCAAGAACAAGATTACAAAGTCAAATTGAACAAACTGAACTACAACACAAATTAACTACTTTTCCAAAAAGAAAAAAAACAAATGGAGCTATGATTTATTCGCAATTAACTGTACCTTTTATAGTACAAGACTAGGTATCATTGCATCTGTAATACTTTGAAAGGAGTATGTATTGGTTGTTTCAGTAAACATTTTTTGATAAATGTCATGGTGACGACCAACACCCCTTGTATCGGTATTGCTAGGGTTAGGTACGATCACGGGTTACCCGATCGTAACTGGGTAACGATAATGGCGTGATTCGGATTTGC